TGTATAAATATAACTCCTCATACTTGCGAACAAGGTTTCAGACCTTGAGGGAAACAGAATACAAAACCTTAACACTATATGAGAGAGGATTTAGTGTAGAGACAGCATCGGCCCATTCAATTTTCCCCCAAATCTCGCCTCCCTCGCGTCTCTCCACGGAAATCTCAGCACACCAAAGCTGCAACAGCTCGGTATCACAGATGTGCACCCTCCAAAAGACCACGATGTTCCCACGAGAGTTGCTACTTAGTCTACTAAAACCCCTTTCGATCATTTGGAACTTCCGTGTAAATTTTCTGTCCACAACATAGTTGTTTGCTTTATAAGCAAATGTACCCCAATCCAAAATATCCAAACCCTTTACTTCCTTCCAATCCAACTAATCTGGCTCACACCACAATATCTTCCCTCGAGTACCACGACAGTATAACAGATTCCCTATGGCACACCAATCGTTTCTTGTTCCTCGCTTAGAATCTTGATTCCTTCTTCTCCATATACCTTCACTTGGCAAGTAGCATAAGCTTTGTTTCTCTTCGTCTACCGCGTAAATTTTGTCATCAATCACCACGGTTTTATCAAAGATCCTTGTGTTCTTAATTACATATCTCTGGATCCTCAGGTATTGGCAATGCATCCCAAGTTTGCGTCTTTGGATCGAAAACCTCTCCCCAACTTGAGGAATTACATCCTCCTCGCAGCCACCAAACACGTAAATCTTCCAGTCTACCACGTTTGCTGCTGCGGAAGCACGAGCCACTCTCATGGACGGGACGGGGAGCCACGTATGAGATAGACAATCGAAAAGCAAGACTTGTGTGGTTGGGTTTACGTTTATGATTCCACCGATTATGTAGATCCCATAATCAAGCACAACGAAAGAAGATGATTCCAGAGGCTGATAAGGGTGCGATGGGATCGGTCTAAGCCGCCGGTTCACCGACTTCTTGGCGGTTGCGTCGTCTAGCGTTTTCCCTCCACGACGGAAGATGCACCAGCGCGGAATTGGGTTAGGATGAATGCTTAAACAGACATAGTAAAACTCCTCTGTACAACCCATTACCGATCACTTGCGGCACAAGTCATGCGAAACCATGAGAGAATGGTGGCTCTTGGAGACTAGAGATAAAGCCGTGCACTCCAATCTCGAGAGACGAAACAGACAGTTCAGAACAAGATCATATGGCAACGACGACGACAGAGATGGAGAGACTTCCTTCTTCTGCCTTTTATTGTACGGATGATGTGCTATTTCATTGGACATGGTTACACCTTAAGATTGTGTCACAAGGCTTCTTCTCCAAACCTTGAAAACCCTAAGATTGTGTCACAAGGCGTCTTCTCCAATCTTAAAAACCCTAAAATCTCTGGATAGATTGATCGAGATCCTGACCGTGACTCTTGCTAAAGAATTAAGATTTGTGTCTCCAAGTACGACATGGAAAAGCTTAAAACTCGTATTTTTCTTCCTTTTTTTTTTTCTAAACGAACAATCTCTTATTCATTAAATATCAAAAAGAAAGAAAATAAAAAATCCTTAAAACCAACATATAGTAAAATCCTAGTAATCAATCTTAATAGTATGATATGTATTGTTAATGGTTCCAGTGACTAACTAATTGCATAGAAGACAACATCAGATCCTTCCAGAAACTATTCTTGAAATCAAAATCAACCGTGTTCCCCACTTCACAACCGGTGCAATTGGTCCAGTCCAAGATCAACTTGTCTTCAGATTTCTCAATAACCGTCACATTGCACCACTGATCAGTTCTCACGTCCAATGCATGGATTTGGCACACCGAGTCGCGGCTTAGTTCAGTTGTTGAGAGGTTTCTTCCGACATCTTTGCTTTTAACTCATCGGCTTCTTCATCACTAAGCTCGAATCCAGTTATCAATGTTGTTATTTGCTCGAGTCTGGTTCCGTAACGAAGCCATTCCGTGTTCCTTGTCTTCTCTGTTTGCCTCTCCAGAGTAGGAGCAAACCTCTGTTCATGCCATTGCATGTCCCTCGTCCTTGCTGTTTCCTTCTCCAAAATAGGAGCAAATCTCTTTGCAGCTTCACTTTTTGATGTAGACGACATTGTTTGTTATGCTTCTTTTCTTCTTTGCTTGAATTTGTGTAATCCACTTTACTTCGTGACATAACATAAGTCATATTGCATCACACATCCTTAATATCTAAACTCAGGTACTAAAGCACTTCTCTTTGATGCGACCAAGTTGAATTATACTTTGTTAGACCAAAGCTTCAATAATCATTGTCTTCTTTTTTCTTGTGAAATGAAAATAAATAGCCATATTCGTTTATTTATAAGATTGTAATAAGCAAGCAAGCATTTTCAAATCAAGGGAATCGAAACAAAGATTTTTGTTCACTACAGAAACCAAACAATCTTCAAGAGTGCATCTTGTCACAGTTATACTTCTTATGAATGTGAAGAGGACAAAACAAAATAAGCTAAGCTAAAACATACGCACCCGATGCAAACTAGACATATTCTTCTACCTGCACTACTCAAGATCCAACTATAAATTCGAGTCAATTCATCAAACAGTAGCAGAAAGAGCAGACACGAATTCATAAGACTTACGGACAGTAAGCACAGCATCAAGCCACTCGACCTCTCCCCAAATCTCCTGATCGCTGCGTCCTTCAAGCGCAATCACCGTGCACCAAATCATCTTATTCTGATAGCCACTAGAAGGTAAATACTTGTCCCACAAAACCACCAACTTTCCACCATAATCCGCCAATTTAACACGACTATAACCCGCAAAATTAGGCAGTCTTCTTAAACCCGTCAAATAAAACCAATGTCCAATCTCAGAGTCATACCATTTGATTCCATCTACGTTATTATAACAATATAGTATGTTATCTATCACGCAATAAGAAAGCCATGCCCATCCCAAATCCAAATTAGTCATCCCTCTTATTGCTTCCCATTTCTCTTCTTTTGGCGTGTAAGCCACACTCTTATGCCCAAACATGTAGATCTTTCCTTCAATCACCGCGCTTTTGCCAATCCGACTTTCGCATATATCTGCAAAAGGGCACGAAACAAGCTCCCAAGTTTGCGTTTTCGGATCAAAAACTTCCATCCAATCGAGTGAGTTGAAGTCTTTGCATCCTCCTGCTACATAAATCTTTCCATCAACGACATTGGCAGCTGGATCCATCCGCTCAACCCGCATGTTTGGAGCCTCCCGCCACGTATGAGACCGACAATCGAGGATCGAGACACAAGAGGAGGGCTCGATGGATCCGCCAATGTTGTAGATGTCATAACCAAGTGCACCTTCCGAACGAACTTGAGGAGAATGTAGAATCGAGAATGGGGCCAAAATGTAGCCACTTGGTTC